AAGGCCTCGGCAAGGAACCTGATCTCCGTCTCGCGCGAGGCCTCATTCTCCGTGTCGCCGAGGCCGGCTCGTCCACTGGTCCGTCCGCCGCTTCGCCTCGGCCGACCCTCCCGACAACTCGTCATGTCTCATTAATGCTTCAACCACTCCCGCAATCTCAATGGACGGTGGCTCAACGCCACAGATGGCTAACGCGACCCGAGGTCGATCGCGCCACCATACCGCCGGACAGAGCACGACGGGATTACCGCCACCGTGTCCTACCATCGTGTCCACGATCGGCGCCATACCGGCCGGGATAGGCACGACGGGATTACCGACCACCTTGTGTCCAAACGCTGCACCCATGATCGGCCGCCCGCTCAAGGCCTCGAAGATGCATACACCGGGCCTCGGCGATCTTGGGGTTCGTGCTCACCGAGACCCCCCATCATGATGCCGGCCTCTAAGACCGACCAAGTCTCGGCCTCAAGACATGATCCGTCCACGATGGCTTGCACGTTCGCCGCCCAAGGCCCACTCCGAGGCATTCCTGTGGCTCCCACGACGACGACAGATCTCGATGGGGACGACCACGCCGCCCCAGTACTCCAAGGATGGACCACTCCGACGACCACGCCACCACAGGGACAGGCCACAGGGCTCGGACGTGCCACCCCTATTGGCACGACGCCGCATAGTAATACATGTACGGTCCTTGTCCTCCCTTCAACTATAAAAGGAGAGGACTTGGGCCACTTAGGGGGGGCCGAAAAAAAACCTGGTAACACACACATACACACACATCCCTGCCGCTTTACTGAGAGCAACGTCTCAAGCGGCCCGCGACGACACTACTGCCGAGACACAGGACCAGCTCCCTCTCTCCTTTAGCTTATAACCCTACTACTACGAGCACCTCGGTGCAAGGAATACAAGATCGATCTCTCGGCGGACGAGGGGCCTCGATTGTCCGAACCAAGATAAACCTTGTGTCTCTTTGCATCACCATCCGGAATCGGGAGCACGCAGAACAAATTCACTAGTCGGTTGAGGACCCCCGGTCCGAAACACCGACACATGCAGTTATGGATTGTGTGCCGGCTAAAGTTATTCATGTTTAACCAATTTTTTAGTGAATGATATTCATATTTATGACTCCAAGTTAATTTATTATAAAAATATATTTCATAACTAATCTAATAATATTTATCTGATATTATAAATATTTATAGTTTTTTATCTAGAATTGATCAAACATAATATACTAAAACAGAAATGATCAAACATAATGATATTTATCCGACAGTAACCATGCATATGCATGTTTCCTATGCAACTTGTCATACTGGGCTTCTTCATCCGATGCGTGATCAGACAATCACTTTGATGGTGAAGCTCTCAATATGCGCGCCCCTAGAATTTTCAATGGCCTCAACAATGGCCAGGTGGGGAGGGCCAGAGGGTACCCCCAACAAATTTTCGTAGTTTTTTTAATTAATTCACAAATATTACATCGAGTTGATGTAGAAATTTATAATATTTCCAGCCTCTGCGTAAAAAATACAGAGTCTAAAACAAAAGAAGAACCTGGCACTCTGATGACTAATCAATCCTAAGACTTGATAAGTGCTTGGGAGAAAACACCATGACTATTTGTACCAATTGTTGCGATGCGGCTGCAACCAAAGCATGTGAAAAGTAAGATCCTGGATCATAACCCATATGCGGAGCCAATGGATAACTGAAAGTACCACCTACAAAGGAGATAAGCATTTTTTTTCAAAGAACAAATCATTTATGCATATCCGAAGCAACAACAAGTGGTCGCTGCCCTAGCAGAACTAAAAGTTCTAAAACCATCTTAAAACCACGAAACCAACTCCCATAGGTGTTATTCTAATGGTGAGTTCCTAAGTCTACATTGAAGGCTCTATCATGACATCATTAATGAAAGTTTTATTGTTTATGTACGGTTCTTTCGTATTTTACTTCGTGGGTTTTAGAAGTAAGATAAGGTTATGAAATGGTCCTTGCCTATTGTTGTGTAGTAGTTTTGTTTCCTTGAAGGCTCTTTGTACACATGTTTAATGTAGAAAGAATTCTTTGGCACAGAGGGACAGTTCTGCAGAGTTCAGGGGAGAACTTCCCTAGAACATTAGCCCATGACCATTATTCTAGACAATTCAAATGATATGATCCCAAAAGTCATGATATGTCTTGAAGAAATTATACTCCTTTTCCTTAACAAGTTTTCGTAAAGTTTCTCATGTAAAGTTGCAATGAGGCAACAATGTGCAAGTGCATTAAGTGGCAATAATATACCTTTTCTCCATATTTTTTATTATTGGTTTTTTCGAGTTCTAACGAGGCACACATTTGTCACAGTATTCGTCTAAGGGGAGTGTGGGAGTGTTAAGAATTTATCAGTTAGAGGATTGATGAAATCATACCCCTCCGTCTAAAAAAAAAATACAACTATAGGGTCGTGTACCAATCGAAACTAGTTTAAATTTGAAAATGCATTTCATAACTAATCTAATGTTGTTTATTTTATATCATAATATTAATACTTTTTATATAATTTTAATCAAAGTATAAATTGTTTGACTCATAAAAAAATAAGAATTATATTCTCTTGTGGACGGAGAGAGTACAATAATATATATATATATATATATATATATATATATATATATATATATATATATATATATATATATATATATATATATATATATATATATATATATATATATATATATATATATAGAGAGAGAGAGAGAGAGAGAGAGAGAGAGAGAGAGAGAGAGGCTACCAAATATGCCTTAGAAACTTTGCATATATAAAAGGACTATATGTATAAATGACGATTGAAGTGATAGCCTCCCCCGTATACTTCTCTCTTTGTGTTCTCGTGTGATGTTTTTAAGGATTGAGCAAGAGAGACGAGATTTATTTACAACTCCTACATGCCTTATTCTTTGGATCAAGGACTGAAAAATGGATCTCACAATCGGTGCGGTAGACCAATCCTCAACAGTTACCCAATCTTTCTCCGCTCTGTCATGCAGCGTGCGCGCAATGGCGCCGTGCGGTCGGGTCGTCCGGGCGGTCGTCCGGGCGGCTCGTGACGACTGGACGTCAGTGTGTTTTTGGTGCCACGCGATCGAACGGAGACCAGTGGACTTGGGTACCAGTACCATATCGGCACGTACGGAATCTGTGGCCAAATCTCTGTCCGGACGCTGAGGCGTTTGCAAGACACAGAGACCGGTCGGGCGGCACAATTTTAATGCCCGCTTGGCCTCACCGGCAGCGCGGCACGTCCGATGCGTACTTGAGCAGCTTTAACCGGCCATCAATCTCCAATTAAACCTGCTTAATTACACGCCATTTCCTGGCCTCTGGGTTTCTGATCCGCCAAGCAGGAACAGGGGGGTGCAAAATATCTGTGATGTGCATGTGCAGAGAAAGGCCCAGCTCGCTCGGTGTGTATCCAAATCCAAGGGTCGGCATGCAGATGCGGTGCAGAGCGGTACAAAATAAACGTCAAAACCCAGCGCGCGGTGCCTCCCTGCGTCGAAGCAGAGCTGCCGGGCAGTGCAAGGATGGTGTCATGTGGACCGCGCCTCGTACGTGCATGCATTCATGTCCCCGTCGGAGCATGGCGTGGTGGTTATCATGTGGTGATGCGAGCAATGCACGTAACATACTGCGATTGATACGGCCAGCATCTGCATCTGCACGTACGAGAGCCCGATACCAGGTGCAGCTTTTGCCTTGCAAGCATTGGCGACGACGTCGACCCGACGAGATGGATCGGGCCAGCACCAGCAGTCCGGCCGGCGACCGGGCAGCAGGCGCAGGACGTTGGAGATTCTCTCCAAGCGGCTCAGCTGCGACGCACGTACTACTACGCACCCGCAGCAGGCTGGTGGCCCGGCCGTGCACCGCCACATCATCCGGCCGGCCGCCAATAATGCGCGCGGTGCGCGTCGCGACACCGCGGTCCGTGGCCCTGCGCTGCGCGCCCGCCGGCCAGGCCGATCCGCCGCGCATGGAAAGGGGTCACCCTGGGCATTCGGTCAGACCGAACCGATCGGTTCGGTTCCTCGGTCATTCCGTCAGTTCGGTCATCAGAAACCTGGGACCGATCGGTCTTTGCAAAAAACGAAGACCGAGGAAGTTCGGTCTCGGTTAGTTCGGTTCGGTCTCGGTCACGACCGAACTAACCGGACCTGAGTAGCAGCCACAAACAATAGCAGAATATATAGCAATTTTCAACAGCATGCTTGCTATTTGAAGGCAAAAAAATAACAACACAATATATAAAACAAACCACACATTATTATGACAAGTTCTAGCATACAACTTTCTCAGTTCTCACAAATCACAATCACACATAATGACATTACGAACGAAGTCTACAGAACTACGATCAGTTCGGTCACTTCGGTTAACCGACACATATGACCGAACTTCTATCGCTTACTTCGGTTAGTTGGGAGCCAGGACCGAACTCATGACCGAACTTTTCGGTCTCGGTCTTTTCGGTTCGGTCTTCGATCTTCGGTTAATTATGCCCAGAGTTAGAAAGGGGCGCCCGGCCCGACCCCGATGACGTGGGCGTGGCATCCCGGACACCGGACCGGATGAGGCGCGGTGCCGTACCTCAATTCCGGCCGTCGGTCGATGGAGACGCTTGCGGTTGCAGAGGTGGCAGCCGCAGGGCTCCCTACACCACCTACGAGTACTACACTACTGTGTGCTCGCTCGCGTGCCATGACACACTGGCACCGCCCGCGCCCGGTCCCCCACCTCACCCCGGTTGCCACCAGCGTACGCCGCGCGTATGGCCCGTTCGTACGTTCCGGCATTGTAAAGGGTACTACTCCGTAGACTACTAGTACTACTGGCACGAGGCAGGCTGTGCATGCGACGGGCCTGGCCGGAGGGCATGCGGGCAACCAAACGCGGCCCGCCGCAAAACCCTAGCTCCGCGGCCGCCAGAACCTGCCATGGCTTCGACGCATGCTCTTAAGAAGAACTACCGCTGCGACTGCTCCCTGCAGCAGTTCTACACTGGCGGGCCCTTTGCCGTCGGGCTCGCCGCCGGCGGTGATGGCGAGGGCGGCGCCGAGGCTGAGGCCTTCCTCGCGTGCGCATGCGGTGGGGAGGTGCGCGTGGTGTCCGCCGCGGACGCCTCCGCCATAGGGGAGCCCGTCGACGGCGACTCGGAGGCCATCACCGCGCTGGCGCTGTCCCCCGACTCACGGCTCATCTTCGCCGCGGGCCACAGCAGGCTTATTAGAGTCTGGGACCTCGCATCCCGAACATGCATACGCAGCTGGAAGGTGAGTATTGAGCTGTCGTGTGTTTCGTGGTGCTCCCTGGTATCCACATTGCTGTGCACGGATTAGTGAATTCGACCACAGGAAAGCAATTTTATGTGAATGCTGCTAGATGATGACCCTGTATCTAGCTATAAAGTAATCCGGAGCTTATTCACGGCATAACAAAAATCTCGGAGTTCTGGAAGTAGTTTCGACAGTTTGAATGTAGTGCACGGCATAACAAGCAATTTTAGGAAGCTTGTATCCTTGAATGTCAGAACTGTCAAATGCACATATTCTAAGCTATCCAGCTCCTCATCCTGGAACATTATTCGTTTGATATCTTGGTTACAGTGTGTTGGGTAGGGAACTAGGGATAGGGGTCATTGCCTCATTGGTATAGTAACAGTGGGAAATTAAATGGATTGAAGTTTTAGAAGCTTCTCAAGAGCTTTGCTATTAATCTATGAGGCTCTACTAGTTTCCTTACAAAAAATATTTTATCGCACACTTCTAGAATACCGGACCTCATGTACTGCTTTTCATAAATTGTGATTTGTGCGAAGTTAAATTAAATGTGGATGCTGTAATTTAATGTCTTAGTTTTACCTTCATATCTTTTCTGGTTAATTGTGCAAAGATAAAGGATACCTTTATTATTTCCACTAACCAACGTGATGTTATAATCAGACATAACCAATTTCTTACAGGGCATGTGCACAGCTTTTCAATTTTTCATTGTTTGATCTTAATCCTGCCATACTAATTGTTGTGTTAATTAATTAGTTAACTTAGAGACTGTATGGCTGATTTACCACTACAGGCCAACATCTTTTATACAATTAAAATTTGCTGATGCCATTATGTTAATACGATGCTAGTTTACTGCCATTTGAGGTAAACTAATGTATTTAACTTATGCTGTACAGGGACATGATGGTCCTATCATGGCCATGGCATGCCATGCTTCTGGTGGTTTGCTTGCAACTGCCGGAGCAGACAAGAAGGTCTGCGTATGGGATGTGGATGGTGGATTTTGCACCCATTTCCTTAGAGGCCATACAGGTGTTGTGACAACCATTATGTTCCACAAAGATCCAAAAAGTCTTCTGGTGAGGACAATTTTTTGAAGATAAGGAATTGTGCTTTTATTGAACTGGATCGCTGAAAATGGCTCTGGGAGCTTGTTAGTTCAAATCAATGTATTACTTTTACTGAGCTCTACTGGTCCCCCCTCCCTCCATGTATGCAGTGTATTCCACTTCCTTTTGGTGAGCCCAAGATAATCTTTGTGTGCTGGATCTCCAGTTGTTTTCAGGAAGTGAAGATGGCACTGTGCGAGTGTGGAACCTTGAAACTAAAAAATGTGTTGCTGTGCTTAAAGAGCATTTTTCAGCAGTCACTTCATTGACATTGTCTGATGATGGACAAATTTGCTGGGCGCTGGGAGGGATAAGGTATGAGTGGTCTCATGTCTGTTATGTATTCTTGAGCTTCCATTCTGCTATCATTACATATGTTTTAAAGTGAAACATTTATACTTCTCTTGTACTGAAATATATCCATAATCCCTACGGTAAAAAATGCTCGACAAATTTGACTTTGCAGTCTTTGATGTCTATCTTTGTCCAGCCATTTTTTTCTAGAATATATTCTTAAAATCCTTCAAATTAAAAGATTTTGCAGATATTTTGATTACAAATCTACACATATAACTTACATGTTTCCAAACTGAATAATGTAATTGTTATTGATGTCTCTAGTTTTTAAGGTTTGACCAAATTTTGTCTTAAACGACATGTTTTTGTGACCGGAGGTAGTATATTCTTAGGGCTCCATGAGCTCTTCAGAACTATATAGAGTAAGTTGTGGGGCTCAAAACAGTCAAAATTTACTGGAAGTGTCAGAGGTTGAAACTTTTCGTCCCATTTTGTATGTGGACCTTTGTGCTCAAAAAGTGGTGGTCATAGGAGTACCTGTTTTGCTTGAATTTTGATATTTCTAACATAGGAGTTTACTGTGGTGTGCATTTTCTGTGTGGAGTTACTGGTAATTCTGAATATATGGAACATCTGCAGATTGTTACCGCGTGGGATATTCGTAAGTATAGCTCAAAGAAGACAATACCGACATATGAAATGATAGAAGCTGTTTCCTTCATTCGATCAGGAAGTGAGTTCTTGGCTTGTTTGGGCATAGAAGTGGCAAATATAAAGGAGAAAGTGTCTGGTTATTATTTTCTTACAGTTGGTGAACGTGGGGTCGTGTGTATTTGGTGCTTGGAGAGGTACATTAGTTTGCATTTATATCCTGCTTTGTTCTTTTGCATATTTCTGTAGTACATGCAATCAATGGCTTTTCTGGTCTTCTACAGTTGTCTTTGCGTATTCGAGCAGCAAACATCTGATGTAACTGTTAACTCAGAGAACGAGGAAACAAGAAGGGGCTTTACATCTGCTGTTATGTTGCCAAACGATCAAGGATTGCTATGTGTTACTACTGATCAGCAGTTTTTGTTCTATTGTCCCAAAAGAACTGATGATGGGACCTTTGAACTGTCCCTATATAGACGACTAATAGGTTATAATGATGAGATTCTTGACTTGAAGTTTGTCGGGGAGGAGGAACAATATCTTGCTGTAGCTACCAACTTGGAGCAGGTGAGCTATTCGTAAATGATGTCTGCACAGTTCTTGTTGGCTAATGCACTTGAAACTTGTGAAACCGTTACCTACATATTCAGGTCCGTGTTTATGATGTGGCGTCGATGTCATGTTCTTATGTACTTGCTGGCCACACCGAAATAGTTGTTTGCATTGACACCTGTGTCTCTGCTTCTGGGAAGACAGTTGTTGTAGCTGGGAGCAAGGATAATACTGTAAGTTGTGATGTCTGGACCTGAAAACTATGTTGACTTACCCTAACGTTTTTGTTTGTGGTTTCTTTTGATAATCCACTGCTGTTGAGTGCATTCTTGTGCTGCTTTTCCTATTTTTGAGTGTGATCTTTTGTACACAGGTGAGGTTATGGGATGCTGAAAGAAAAAAACTGTATTGGCATTGGCAAAGGCCATCTGGGAGCTGTTGGTTCTGTTGCCTTCTCAAAGAAAACAAAGAACTATTTTGTTAGTGGCAGCAGGTTTGCTCTTCAGTTTCTGTGATCTTTGTTTGTCTGAAGTGACACCAAAATTGTTATTAAGATTATCTTTTTGTTAGCGATCAAACCATCAAGGTATGGACCTGGGACGATGCCCTTGGTGATGCTGAGGATGAAGTCCCTCTTAAAGCAAAGGCTGTTGTAGCTGCACATGATAAAGATATTAATTCTCTGGCAATTTCACCTAATGATGGTCTTGTTTGCAGTGGTTCTGAGGTAAGATTGTAGCATGATACTTCATCTATTCCAAATTATAGGTCACTTTGGTTTTGTCCTAAGTCAAACTTCTCTAATTTTGAGCATGGTTATTGAAAAATTCATTATATCTACAACATTAAATTTGTTTCATTAAATCCACCAGAAATGTCTTAATTATATATATATATATATATATTTTTTTTCTAAAAACTTGGTCAGAATTTATAAATTTGGCTTAGGACAGAGCTAAAGTGACCTATAATTTGGAAAGGAGGGTGTAGTTCTTTTAGATGTGCTTTTATCTGGCTTACATCATGTGATTTTCATTATATATTATCAAAATTTGTTTTGTAGGACCGAACTGCTTGCATATGGAAACTCCCTAACCTAGTGTCCTCTGTTGTCCTTAAGGGGCACAAAAGAGGAATCTGGTCAGTTGAGTTTTCTCCTGTTGAACCATGTGTCACGACATCCTCTGGTGATAGAACAATCAAAATATGGTCCATTGCTGGTGGCTCATGCTTGAAGACATTTGAGGGTCATACATCAAGTGTTCTGCGAGCTTCTTTCCTTTCACGTGGAACTCAAGTTGTTTCTTGTGGTAATAGAAAATAAGCTGTTCGTCCAAGTTATTATCTTGAGCCTTTAGGGAGTCTTGTTGATTCTGTTCTTCTACAACAACAACAACAACAAAGCATTTAAGTCCCAAACAAGTTGGGGTAGGCTAGAGTTGAAACCCAGCAGAAGCCATCAAGGTTCAGGCACGTGAATAGCTGTTTTCCAAGCACTCCTATCTAAGGCTAAGTCTTTGGGTATATTCCATCCTTTCAAATTGATTCTGTTCTTCTGATGCTCCTAAATGTAGGAAGTGTTGGTCTAGTGAAGCTATGGACAATCGAGACAAATGAATGCATTGCTACTTATGATAAGCATGATGGGAAGGTATGACATCATTGCCATGCATGAGGGAAGAGTTCCTTTTCTGTCTCATTGCTGGAGGGGACTCAAACTCACTATTATTTGTTCCATAGGTCTGGGCATTGGCTGTTGGCATGAAAACCGAAATGGTTGCTACTGGTGGAGCCGATGCTGTCGTCAACCTGTGGCATGATTGCACCATGGAAGATAAGCAGGAAGATTTCCTTAAGAAGGCAAGTGAAACATTCTGTTACGCTTTCAACATATATATATATATAATATTTTGCTACAAACGGTGTATTCTACCACCCACGAGCAAGGGCGTCCTCAGGCCCATGTGGGCAGTGCGACCGAACTGGGCCCCCAAAATTCATGGGCCCTAAAATTTACAAAGTATCCTAAGTATATATAATAATTGTGGGCTTGTTTTAATTAATAAATTAGCCACAGGCCCAATAAACGTGGCCTCCTACTCCTTCCGGAGAAAAGCACCACACATTGAGTCCACGATCGTGAGTCGGAAAAGTCTGTGGCTGGCTATTCTTCTTCACGTAAGTTCCTAACCCTTCGTGAGTTCGTGGCTTCGTCGCTTGGACTTGTTCCTCGCCCTCGCCGTTGTTGGTCGCTCGAGAGTTGAGACCTAGTCGCAATCCCAGATGGCCGGACCCAGATTGGAGACGCCAAACAGAGATCATCGCCTGGTATAAATTCCATGCCCAGCCCCTATTTTATTTAGTTAATCTTTTGTGCACTGTCTTTGTACACAAATTGATCTAGTGTAATTATATTGTTCCAACTTGCAAGCCATGTCTTCTTCAAATTTCTTCAAAACGGATTAGAAAATATGAATTGGGAAATCAAAAGCGTAAGAAAAAGCAAAGAATCGAGGAATTAACTAGATCTCAGAAAGGGTCTATGGAGAGGTTTATTATTAGAGAACCACAAGCTTAATTTCTTCTCCCAATAACGATACAGTTGGGCAGGGCACTACCATTTTTTTTTTGTTTTGGCAATAGATGTTAGGCCTCCACTTGTTTCGAACTGGGCCTCGTATTTTCCAGCGCCTGCCACGAGTGATATCTAGCCACCCCCCAGATCCGACGAGACACTGGCTGAGCGGTCCGAGCGGTCCGACTGGTGCAGCAGACGTGCTGTCCTATTTTCCTCACTGGTGGGCAGGCCCCACTAGGATTGGGGCGCCCCACAATGCGCTGCCCACAAACCACGCGTGCATGTTGCTGCGTCCTGACAAAAAGGTGAGGCCCAGCTTTTGTGCACATTGAAATTCCCCTCTCTACTCTCTCTCTACCCTTCTCACGTCACTTTCAGCATGTGCTTTTAGTTTTTCCATGATACTTCTTAATAATCTTTGATTAACAAACGGGCTGCTTTTAATATTTGATATCAATTGCCGACATTTGGTGCCAATTCCTCTGATGTTTTTGGGCCTTGAAAAATGGTGCTACCTCTAATTTAAAACTGCAATAACCTGCTGCATCTCGTGTAGGAATTATCATGTGGATTTCTGTCTATTTGTGGTCTGCTTATCAGTAGTAATGGCTAGCACATTCTCCAACTAATCACCATTCACGTTTCAAAGTTCCGAAGAAAAAAAACTGTCACATCCAACAACTCACCCATGCAGGATTATCACTAAGGCCTCGTTCGTTTACGGCATTACAAGGGCAGGAATCAACTCTCCTAGTGAAAGCTTATATAAATTAAAGTTACCAATCCAGCTAGGAATTATTCCTGGGGCTTGTTCCCGGTGAAACGAACGTGGCCTAAACTTTCATGTTCAGGTTGGCAGGTTGCTCACTCTCTCCTGTTTTGAAAAAGCTGACGTCCTTCTCCAAGCAGTAGACCACCGCTCGTCCTCTCTGCCCGCGCCACAGTAAATTTTGGAGACCACACGGCGCATGCTCTACTTCATGTGTGTTTCCTTTGCTCACTGACAGGCGGGCCTGGATGCCCACGTAGAGAGCCCACCATGGAGCAGACCTGCGTGAGCTTCATGAAAAGCTCGTTGCCTTCTGCTGCGTCGTGACAAAAGGGAAAGACTTTTCTAGTACTCGTCCCCTCTCACCTCTCTCTCTCTTCTCTCTCTTGCCAGGGGACCACACCAACAAGCCAGCTGTGTTTCTCCCGTTCAATGCATGTGAGAAGACTACGGAGAAGATGTTTGATTGATAATAAGCTTTAGACGATATTATTTCCTAAACCACAAACTAATTTGCATTTTGTTTGCGTCATATTATTTGTATTAATTTTATCTACAAAATAAGACCCAAATTAACTATAAATTTCTATAAAAAAAGTGACACGTAGGGCCCACATGTCCCTCAGTCACTGTCCACTTTAGCCATTGCTCACTTCCGGCACGCCCTGGTCTGCATCTTATTCTAATCCATGGTTATCGATGAAGTGTTCAATCTTTATTCGTTCGGGCGCAACTAATTTGCATTTTGATTTTATCTACAAAATAAAACACAAATTATATTTTTGTACTAAAAAATAAGTGGCAGGTGGGCCCCACATGTTTCTCAATTTTTAATTCACCCTTGCCAATGAAAGCCACAACCGCAATAACCTGCTGCATCTCGGGTAGGTGAAAATATCTAAACACTATTCATATGACTAATGATTAATTATATGGTGCAAACGACCAGCCACAAAAGGCCAAACGCGCTTCATTCTTGTACTTCGTTTGCCAAAAGAGGACTACCAATCCAACAGTCCATGGCGCCACTTGTCGCTGATCTGAGGTATGGGTAGCCGTCACCCCCTATGGGGCAGCTATCCGCCTATCCCCCATTGTATATATATAGGACCGGTGAAGTAGTACTACTCATTTGGTCTTTATTTGATATTCGCAGCAGTAGTAAGTGATTTTAGATGTCTGCAGCCTTATTATGTAGTAGTAATTTTGAGTTTTGCCTAATGTCGTTTTTTCTTTTTCTAGACTACTGTCAAACTTTCATTCGCACCAGTAGTGTGGTGAATTTTGTAAATTCAAATCTCTAGATTAATAATAAAACATGCTGATTTTAGTAGCATCATAGCCATCTGTAATCACCGATCATGAAGATTAGGAGTAGCATCAGCATCTGTATGTCCTCAGTAACAAAAATAAGTAGAAAGACGCACAAGCATTATGAAAATCCACAAGCCAAGTTTCCAAAATACACTATGCGAACATAAGTAGTAATTATTCAAACTTACATTGACCACCACAAACGACAGTGTGGTGCCTCCGTCATTTGAACGTGAATAACAAATAAATAAATTTTACACTGAAATGAGAGGAAATAGGGTTTGATATTTATTTATAGGCGCTAATAAGTGTTATGGTTAATTGATGATAAATACTACCACGTTGCTTATATATATATTGCTGAAAGAAAAACTGTGAAATACTTAATGTTAGACCTGATGGATGGGTACTTACAATTCTAAACATATAGAAGAGGTAAAATTGCTAATAAGTGAGTTGCTGAATGTTCTTATTCGAACTTCGTCGAATTTCTTTTAACTTGTTGGCATTTGCAGGATTCTTTGATAGAACCACATGAAAATGTTATGAAGAAGACGACTATCAGTCCTGTCAAGATCAGGAGGACATCGGTTCGGCTGTCTAGGCACTGCAGACAAGCCAACTGCTTCCCGTCACCTCTGTAAGACATAATCTGCTGCTCTTCTTTTTTCTATTTAATTGAAGCTCTATTACACTGTTATATAAGTTTTTTTTTTATTATTTGATTATTTGATTTGAATGTCACAGAGCATATCGTAAAAAGACAATCAAATGGAGTAAATATAATACAAAACTGTTGTATGAGTGTTGTCTTGAGGAAATGAAATCTTTGGAAAAACTATCATATAAGGTGATAGCACAGAAACTCCACGGTAAAGGACTAACGTCTGATGAAAAGAATGTAAGAGAGAAGATACTTTCTGCAAAAAGACTTTACACTTTCTGGAAAGAGAAAGTGGAGGCAGTACCAGTTGCTAACAGGGACAATAAGTGGTGGGACAAAATACTAAAGGTTTTTTCTTTTCTTTTAAATCTTTAGAAAAAACATCTAATATTTGTTTAATATAAATAAGAATAATTTTATTTATTTTACAGAAACGTAAAAGCACTCCTACATACAGAAACCTGAAAGATCGCCCACCAGAAAATCTAGAGTTCCTTGAAATTATATGTTTTGGGCCACAGCAGGAGGAAAGAATGTACCTCATGTGCCTCCTGTAGTGCAGTCTAGGCACCAGCCGGTATCAGCTCCAACAACTTTGCCTTCAGTAAGTATTGCCAGACCTATGCTTCATCACCTGATTTTTGTCTAATTTTGTAACCTCTGATGCATCAATTGTTTTTGTCTACTATTCAATATTTTATATCGTTGACTTTGGAATAACTGAGTTTGTAAATGACAAGGTCAACTTGTCTGAACCTAGCTCTTCAGACTGGCAGGAGCACACTGCAGCCGAGGGGAAAAAGTTAGTATTTTTTTTAATTTCTTTCCATTATTAACTTCATTATAAGCTCTTGTAATTTAAGTATTTCATGTTTTGATTTTCTCTTTATTTGGTTTGCTTTAATTTTTCCCTTTGAAGGGCGGGCCTGGTGCAAGCGGTAGAGTCTTCCCGTCTGTGACCGGAAGGTCCCGGGTTCGAGTCGCGGTCTCCTCGCATTGCATTACGAGGTAAGGCTTGCCATCGACACTCTTTCCCAGCACCCGCATGCAGAGGTGAGCTCTCTACTTTAGATGCGCCCTTTAATTTTTCCCTTTCATTTTCTAGGTACTACTACAATAAGAAGACAAGGCAATCAAGTTGGGAGAAACCAGTTGAGTTGATGACACCTTTGGAGGTTAGTGTGTTGTTTGCTTATAGTCATGCAGCTTAGCCATATGATTTTGATCTGTTTAGGTAGCCCTATGCTTGTGCCTGATATCATCTTTCACTAAAAAGTTCAATTCCCAATGTGCTTTTGTGCACAAATTCATGCACACTCTTTGGCCTTTTTGCGTTATTTTGTGCTTTCTATGTATTTAGATTGATTCTTTAAATTCGGTTAAGCAGCACTTGCAAAGGACCAATAAATCATTCTTGTTTCTTTTTGCTTGATTTGAGGGAAGTTCATTCTCTAATATAAGTAATGTACTTAATGTGTCCTTGCTGTATTAATTTGCATTTCAATGGGTTTTGTTAATTTAATAGAGGGCTGATGCCTCAACCGAATGGAAAGAATTTACTACACCTGAAGGACGAAAGTAAGTTTATATTGGAATTAAGTGCCAATTGAGATATTTTTATTTATATGTCAATATGGTAATGAATCCTCCATTTTCTTTCCATATTTTGACTGTTCTATAATTGAAGGTGCTATTTCAACAAAGTGACCAAGCAATCAAAATGGACTATTCCTGATGAGTTAAAGGTTTTCTTCTTGCTCTTCTTTTCTCCATCTATATTTCTTTAATCGAAAATTACATTATTGCTGCAATTATTTTCTCTCTCAGGTTGCACGTGAATTGGCAGAGAAGGCATCAAATCAACAACCTGAGCGAGAATCAGGAATAGCTGCTAGTGCTCTTGTCGGATCTGCTGCCTCTGAACCTTCTACTATACCTGCTAATCAGTCGTCATCTGCTGTTGGTATAATTGCTCCCAGCTCACATGATGGGTCATCAAACTCTGTTCCTCCTGGTGCTGCCCCGTCGCACAATGTGGAGAACACTTCCAGTTCAATTGTTGACATGCAAAATTGTGGTCCAAGTACTGCTGTTGTTCCTGTTGCAACAAGCACAGAAGTTCCATTAGTTGCAACAGATGCAGGGGCCAGCAGGTTTTCGCACATGTTTACCTTTTTTCATCCTGTAGTATATTCTACCTGACGTTCAATTGCCTGCTAATATGCTTATTTGTTGAACATTGCAGAAACAACAATGAAAATCCATCTCTGACCACAGGCTGACACAGAGGATGGTACATCTGCTGAAGATTTGGAGGTATGTTTGCTTTACGCTTGTTGTTTTGTTTCATAAGATTTGCAAGTGCTTCATAGTTGATGTATTTATACTCCTTTGCTAAATCTTGTCCAAGTCAGTGACCCCACATTTTAACAATTTGTCTCTGGTTGCCTTTTTGTTATAAACTTTACAGTTTTTGCACCATTTCAATTTGTATGTGAATATCCTTGTCAACATCCTTGTGGAGCCTGCTTTTACATGCCTTTTAGCATTGCATTTGTTTTCCTTTGATGGATGATAGTATTTTGCTACCATTAATTGTAAAAATCTATTTTATGAAAAATGGAGCAACTAGACACACTCGGCCAGTGTTTTAAATAGCAGACTATAGCGGTTTAGCCATTTGCCGCTACAAAACTGATGTACTAAATAGCGGGCTATTGCGGCCCTGTAGCAGTAAATAGTGGCGCTATAGCGGCTGAGCAAACCTCTCTGCTAAATGCTATAGCCCGCGATTTAAAACACTGTACTTGGCACATAATGTATATTTCCCCCCTTCTGACATTGTGATCTACAATTATTGTGGAACACTTATCTGGATTTTGGATGCTTGGATATGGTCAGTGAAGTTTTGGCAATGACAAAGATATTTGTAACAATGGAATAGAGCTGAACAGATTGTAGTGGTTCTTGTGTTACTAGATTTTTTTTCTTCCCTGAAACAAATGCATTGCCATGGCCCTTTTTGTCGATAGGAGCAAGACACAACCTACGTAATCCTAATAAATTGTGTACTCGGTCATAGCTTAGTCAGGATTTCTGATAAAACTAGATTCATCGTGGAACTGAACTTCTTGATAAATCGATGTCTCATGATGACTGATGACTGAACTTGTGCCCCTTGCCCCAGTCCTTTTGTTTGACATTGCTATTACCTTGTGAACCGTGACTAGAGATGTGCAACACTGATAAACTTAATATAGATGTTTTTTGGACACCAGGGTTTAGTAGATTTCTTACGGATACAGTCCAGTTGCATCTTTTTTGGTACTCATTCATGTTTCTTCTTAGTTGGCATTTAGGTCTTGTTCGGGCTGGTATTAAAGCCGGCTGAAACTGTTTTGTTGTGAGAGAAAAATACTGTAGATTCTAGCGGATAAGCGGTTGATAAGTTCAAGCGAAGAAAGAAATTAATTAGTGTTTAGAGGGTACTAGAGACGCTATAGTGTGAAGTACCGTTACTCAGTATATGGAAGGAACTACCTAAGAAGTTACTTCAGCTTCCTTTTCTTGGCAGAAATTACTGGTAACTAGGTATCTTACTGAAGTTAGATATTCTCTCCATCTTTTTATTTCAAAAAGAAAAATCATGGATACTTGAAAGAGAGGGGGAAGGGACATCTATAGTCTCAGCTATATAGTTTCTACTTTGATGGAAATTAGAACGATTTTAACTGGACAGTCCTTTTTCTGTGGATGAAACCATATTTTCGCACTTATATTATCTCTTTTAATAGTGGCTAGTGGACTTAACTGCTTAGTTTTCCCTCTCTGTAACTGAATGTTGACGCCGCTTCAACATGCTACTCTATAGGAGGCCAAAAAGACCATGCCAGTTGCAGGGAAGATTAATGTCACTCCACTGGAGGAGAAAACAAGTGAAGAAGAACCTGCAGTCTACGCCACTATGATGATGGTGAGATGGCTTGAAAGAAGCAAATTATAAATTGGATGTTTGCTCATGATTTGGCAACCTCATTTATATTTTTGATTTGTTGGAAGCAAAAAATGCGTTCAAGTCCCTGCTCGAGTCAGTAAATGTTGAGTCTCATTGGACATGGGATCAGGTATGGAACTCGTCTCTACTTAACATCAACCGATGAAATGTGTAACACTGTTATAACATTTTCACACTATGAGAGTCATTATAAATGACAAAAGATATGTCACTGATTGTTTGGCAACTTGTTTATATTTTTTATTTCTCTCAAGCAACACTATGAATCATTCAGTAACCATCCAAAATGTACTATTCAATGCACCAGCCGAACGCGCTCACGGTGCTTTGAAAACTCATCTCATCGCAAGCTAACATCCTCTTTCTGTACCTGCAGTTAGGAAGTAGCTTTTGCTTTACCTAGGAAGATGTGTCACTGAGTTCTTTCTTTGCCACAAGTCCAGAACGCACACAGCATCGAGTGCTTCTGCACTGTCAGACGAGGCCTCCGCTGCTCCTGCAAGCTACCTGACACGCTGGGGATTTGGACACTGGATGCTGAGATGGACGCTATGGCTACTAGTCAGCGTGTAGCGTTGGGCACGCCCTAAGCTCCAAGCAGTTACTCTAGCCATTTTTACATTAGAAGGCTTCAACTTTCGGTATATGTGCACCTTTATGTACTTTTTTTTTATCTCACACCTTTATGTACTTGCTTACGGTACTTCGTTCCCAAATTATAGAACGTACAGTAATTAACATGCATGGATCCTGATTCTCGACCATATCTGCCGACAAAAAAAAAGAATGTAGTCCTATCATATTGTAGTACATGATCGATCGAATACAGTAACATTTCTTCGACGTACGTACTTGTCCAAACAGTAACCATACATATTGTAGTACACGATCCTTGTGCTTGAGCAGCTTTAACCGGCCAGCAGTCGCCAATTAAACCTGCTTAATTACACGCCATTGCCTGGCCAAGCAGGAGCAGGAGGTGCAAATTATCTGTGATGTGCATGTGCAGAGAAAGGCCCAGCTCGCTGGGTGTATCGAAATCCAATGGTCGGCATGCAGTGCAGTCTGCAGAGCGGTGCAAAATAAACGTCAAAACCCAGCGCGCTCACGCGCCGGTGCCTCCCTGCGTCGAAGCAGAGCTGCCGGGCAGTGCAAGGATGGTGCCATGTGGACCGCGTCACGGGTAACTAGACAGTCGAATCAAAAGCACACCACCTCGTGCATGTTCTCGCCGGGAGCATGGCGTAGTGGTTCCTAATTCCGTCCTCCCGTCATGTGGTGCGTACTAGCACTAATAAGCTAGTACAGTGATCAACAAGTTGGCGAGCAATGCACGTAACATAATGCGATTGAGACGGCCCCTGCATAAGCACGAGGAGCCCGATACCAGGTGCAGCTTTTGCCTTGCATGCATTGGTGACGGCGTCGACCCGACGAGATGGATCGGGCCAGCAGTCCGGCCGGCCGGCCGGCGACCAGGCAGCAGGCGCAGGACGTACGTTGGAGATTCTCTCCAAGTGGCTGAGCTGCCACGCACGTACGCACCCGCAGCAAGCTGATGGCCCGGCCGTGCACCGCTACTAATGCGCGCGGGCGCGGCGCGCCCGCCCGCCGGCCGGGCCGGGCCGCCGCGCATGGGAAGGGGCGCCTCGATGGCGTGGGCGTGGCAGCCCGGACACCGGAGCAGGCGCGGTGCCGTACGCGCCGGGCGTCGGTCGATGGAGACGCTTGCAGTTGCAGAGGCAGCCGTAGGGCTCCCTCCCTACACCCTACTGCGTGCTCGCTCAGCCGCTCGCGTGCCATGCATGGCGCATCGGCACCGCTCGCGCCCGGTCCCCACCTCACCCGGGCTGCCACCAGTGTACACCGTGCGTATGGCCCGGCCGGCGCCCTGGGGCGCACGTACGTTCCGGCAGTGTAAAGGGTACTAGTACTACTGGCACGAGGCAGGCAGGTTCTACAACGCTTGGCTCCTGACAACGATGGTGTGCGCTGTGAACGGTAGCATCGCCATCACCGGAGAATCTACCAATAAGGATCAACTTTATTATACGAGAAGAATTTGCTCAGATCCTTACGGAGTTTTAGTCGGTAAAGCCCAATCGATTCTCTATGAAATCTGATTTTGTGAGAGAAGTGATTTTATGGCTAAAAGTGATTTTCTTTGATTATTTAGCATAAAATCTTAAAATCATGATGGAGAATCACTTTCAAGAATCAAGACAAGCTACTTTTTTTTTTAGTTCTCAGCCTTTTAGTTCATTTTAGAGAACCACTTCATGGAATCAGTATAAAATCACTTCTCTCCAAAAAACTGTTTGGCAGAGCTCCTGCTGGATTCAACAGACAATCAATTTTGGGAGCTCTGCCAAACATGGCCTTATTGAATGGATCCCAATTCGCCCCTTAGTTGACAGGGATTCTACCTTTTTATATAATGGAAAATAGTCCATACACACCCAATGTTTAAACTTATTACAAGTTCTAAACTAGAGACTAAGAGGGTACACAAAAGACCATTCATTATATGCAAAAAAACTATATGACACTTATTTCAAGTAATTTGCACGCCCCGCGAATCTGATCTTTGCAATCATTCGAGCGATGTAATTGAGCCTAGAGCCGAAGCTAGTGTATCCCCCTAAAGACAACCCACAAAAATGTTTTTAGGTGACCATTGTCAAAAACAATTTTGTTCCTTGTCGTCAAATTGCCCAACAAAGAGAAGCACCACCAGCCAATATAGGTAATTATGTTTGTTGCCTCCCATTTTAGACCAACTATGGAACAAATGTAAACTACTTGCTTGCCACAGAAAATGGACATAACGACACTCAAAGAATAAATATTCCCCATCTTCAAGTTCTCCATCTGATTCCGATGTTCTTAATGTGTTTATTACAAACTTGCACTCCCTCAATTTCGAAATATAAAGGGTTTTGGTTTTATCCTAAGTGCAGTTCTTTGAATTTGACTAAGTCTATAAAAAAGTAATAACATTTACAATATCAAAACAGTTCCATTAATTTCATCATTGAATATATTTTTATAGTACATTTGTTTAATGTTAGAAATATTTTGCAATTTACTTAAATGTGCCCAAACTAACACCGAACAAATCTAAAACAGAGCAAGGGATGAGTGGCCTAATGAGTAAGCAAACACCTTTTATTTTTTTGAGCAACGAGTAAGCAAACACCTTACCAGGCCTAAATTAGAGCAACCAACCTCACAGACCCGGCCCAACAACCGTTTCCATGGCGCGGA